CCAATGAAGCTGGGGAAAGGGGGTTGAAAATTGCACTGTGTAATTATAACAACCCTTTTCCCAGCTTTATTAGTGGAAACGTTAATGATTATAAAATTCTCTCTTCCCTCCCAGGCCAGATTCAGTGATGGTAGTATGCATTGTGCACAAATCCCCCTGGGCCCCCAATGGTTCTTGGGATAATTAGTGGCAACTGGCAAGTCAAAGTCATGCCTCTGTGGCTCCATATTTAAGTTGTCCCATGCCATGGTACCTGCTGGTTCTGACTAATCACATCAAAACTTTCAGGCAGATGTCAGGAGTAGATCACTCCATAAGTCCTGGCACACACTGACAGGTAGGAGAGAGGATGGGAGGGTCTTGGTCTCTAACAGAAGAGAGGAACAGGTGGCTGCACCACATGCAAGGATGAACATGGACTGTAGGGGGACAGCTCAGCCCTCTTGGTACAGAACAGACTACCCTCTGCTAAAGGCTGCATAGTAGCTACCTGGGCTACTGTGGCAGTAGCAGGGCCATAGTTTTTTTTTTTTGCTGGGGATTTTTTTTTTTTTTTTCCTGGGTTGGTTATCTAGCTAATTTTTTATTGGGCAATCTTGATAGTTCACAGACAACGAACAACATTTTACCCCTGTTCAAATCATTAGTAAGACCTCATCTGGAATATGCAGTTCGGTTTTGGGCACCAATTCACAAAAAGAACATTGGGGAACTGAAGAAAGTACAGAGAAGGGCAACCAAACTGATAAGATACCTGGAGGAGCTCAGCTATGAGGAAAGATTAGAGGAACTGAATTTATTCTCTCCTGAGAAGGGGATATTAAGGGGGGATTTGATCAACATGTATAAATACATCAGTGGTTCATATAGTGAACTCGGTGTAGAGCTCTCTTTACGTCTGGAGGAAAATAAATGTAATTTCCAAACACGGAAAGGTTTCTTCACAGTGAGAGCTGTGAAAACGTGGCATAGACTCCCTCAAGAGTTGGTTTTGGCCAGCTTAGTGGATTGCTTCAAAAAAGGCCTGGATTGTTTCTTAGATACACAGAATATAACTGGATACTAACATTTATAGGTAAAGTTGATCCAGGGAATATTAGATTGCTTCTCGTGGGATCAGGAAGCAATTTTTTCCCTGCAGGAGCAAATTGGATCGTGCTCTTCTGGTTTTTTTTTTGCCTTCCTCTGAATCAACTGTGGGTGTAAGATTATAACTTTTTTTTTTTTTTTTTTTAATGGTTGAACTGGATGGACTTTTGTCTTTTTTCAGCCAGACTAACTATGTAACTATATGTAACGAAGGGCAAACATGACAATGAAAAACTAATGAGGGACTCATCAACACAGATGTTTTGCTGGGTAGTATAGACATCTGCAAATTTTTGGTTAAAGTGATTTACAAGGGGCCAAAATTTGTAGAGCCGGTCAAATTCAGGGTCACCCCGAGGATGACAGAGTGTATTGTTGAAATGCATAAAACACATTATATTCTCATATCTATGCCTGACCATGGCAGCAGAGAACACGGGCATATGATGAATCTTGTCTGTGGACCAATACAACCGCAATTACTTTTTTTTAGTAATGCCCATGTTGAGAGTTAGGCCCAAAAAAACTTTAAATTCGGAAACCGCAATAGGTTTCCATGCAAATGGTCTGGCAAGGTTTGAACTTGGGTTGGCGGCAATAAATTGTTGTGCATATAAATTTCAATTGCAAATTTGATCCACAATCAATGCATACAGATCTTCCATGAAAAACAGCTCCAAAAAAATCAAGGAGTAGTTAAATTTACTGTTTCCACCTGAATTCCGGGTTGGGCAGTGAATGGGGGAAGTTCAGGTGCTGCAGATTTTGTGGGCTGCCAATCGGGATTTGCAAGCACATCCGGAAGAACACTAGGGGCTCTACGGACCTGTGTTCGAATTCTTGGTGGCTGCGAGACACTACTTGTGCTAGCTGCCACACCAGCTTGGACTGCACTTATGGGACTTGTCACCAAGTGATACTGCAGTGCTGGTATGTGAAAGACCAGGTTGTACTAAGCTGCTGGTGCTCACCAGTTCACCAAAAGGTAGAGCGGCACTAGTACTGGCACTCTGCTGCATATGAGAATCATCATGCGATTGTAACATCTCAGCAACCTGGGAACGGGGTCGGGTATGCCAGACATTAGCAGGGACCTCTTCTCCATCGTCAGAGCTATCTGTTAGGGTTCCGATGCTGTCTACAGGTTTGTATTCTGAGGCAGATTGTGTCAGTGAGGCTTCCCCTTTGCTCTCATCTGACATTCTCAGAATACTGTAGGCCTCTTCACTCGAGTACTTTTTGCTGGACATTTTGGCCACTAAATGTATAAGTATCTAGTGCGACTCATGGGAAAAAGAGCACCTGGCTGTCGGGGTCTGCTTGAACAGTTAAAAAAAAATTTACCTGCAAGTGCCAACAGAGATCAGGCCTGATTCTGTGAACACTGTGGTTTTGTGCACAATATATCAAGTGACAGTGATCTACTGACACTGCACTTGCTGCAGGAGAGGGGGGAGGGGAGGTAAGCGTAGGTTGTAAAAGCAGGTGCTGGCAGGTGTCGGGGCTGATCCCGCTAACGCTGCATTTTTGGGGACACTATACTAATGTGAACACTGGTATAGTGCTGATCGGATCAAAGATATTGTTCAAAGATATCCATGCAGACACTATACCAGCAATGAAGGTTTATTGTGTATGTGAGCGTATTCCAGGCAATCAAGGGGTTAAATGTGATGACTGGTGTAGTGACGGGCAATCTGACACTGAGAGGGACGATGACGCTAACGCTATCTGAAGTCGCCGGTGACACTAATACAGTGATTGGCAAAAAATAATCTGTACTAATGACACTGGTAACAGGGAAGTGAAGGGGTTAACTGGGAGAGGTGGCGATCAAGGGGTTAAATGAGTCCTAACAGTGTTCTAAACTGTAAAAGTGTGCTGATTTTACTCACTGTGTCTTCTTTCTTCTCTCTCTGGGATGTGTCCAGAGAGAGAAGATTGCCTCATTTCCTGTACCTGTGTAAGTGTAAACACAGGTACAGGAAGACCAGTGATAGGCCTGAGATTGATCATCCGATTAAGGTCAAACATCACTTACCTAAATCAAATGATTGATCCTTTGGGGACAAATCACAGCACCTGCGTGTTGGAGGGTGCGCATGCGCCCCTGGCCTGCAATCACCACAGAAGCGCAAATCGCATATATATATATATATATATATATATATATATATATATATATATATATATATATACACACACACACATACATACACACACATGATTTTGCGCATCCTTGCCACCCTGTAGCAGTATTACTGCTATAGTGCGGACGGAAAGCGGTTAACATAGAAATAAAAGACAAAACATATAAGTATACATATAAAAACATTATAAATACCTTTTTTTCCCTTTTTATAAATTATTAGTTACTCTCTGTTCTCAGCTGCATAAGGTGCTTAGGGAGGAGAAACAGCAGCACGCTAATCTTTCCAGAGAATGGCTGTGCATGGGGACATGTCAACACAATTCTGTTCATTAGAGGAGAGCAAACCATGCTGTATTCTCATGCCTAGTTCAGTTCAGTTTTTAATAGGAAAGCAGAGGGACTGGCAGGAACACCAGGGGTTTCTCACAAAGGATGTAATACAAAGAGAACAGGATACTTTTTCATACAAGTACATGGTATAGCAGGCATAAATCAGGAATATGAAATGTTGGGTTTATATATTCTTTAACCTGAATGTGGATGCAAGTAGAGAAGTACTCCATTGGGTCCTGTACCAAGAGCACAATGACTATCTTAGGTCTGTTGCTTATGTGAGTCTGAGTCTCTCCCCAGTTGAGAAGAATTATCTCACTCTCAAGCTGGAGATATATTCTCTGAAGTAAAAGTCATAGACATGTTGAAAGGCTACTTGTATGGAGCAGAATTTGAGGTCAAGACAGACAGCAATCCTCTAACATACATTCTACAACTGCAAAGTCGGACTCTAGAGGGCATCCATGGTTAGCTGCCCTTTCTGGATTCTGTTTCAGTCTGAAATATTGAGCATGGGTTGGTAACAGAGGCCGACTCTGTCAACAGACCCAATGGTAATGAAGCCCTTTATAAAGAATTACCTCAACTGACAGAAAGAATGCAAGCCCTGTATCAGGGGATTGATCAGTGAGTCTAGGTAGCAACAAGGGCTGAAGCCATTGGGGTCACTGCTTTGGGTGTCCTGAAGTTCCCTTTCTTGGCTGAATTTAGGTGCCCTTGAATAGTCATTGAAAGCTTCTGTTGATCAATTCCCAAAAAGGGAAAGCATAAAGGTACAATATTAATGGCCCTACATATTGAGCATGGTCTTCTAGGACCATAGAGAACTTTTAAACTGCCCAAATATTGGTTCTACTGGCTCTACATGAGGACTAAAGTTGAAAATTACTATTATTACTGTCTACATTGCATGCAGCGAAAGGCTTTGCCCTCAAGAGTTGTCCCAATGGGTCACCTCCAAAGTCAAGGTCCCATGGGCTTCCTGTGCTTGAAGCCTGATATAAGTGGACACGGGAACATCCTTGTAGTGACTGACCACTTCTTTCTGAACACATCATGCACAAATAAAAGACCAAAGAGCTTCAACTGTGGCCAAAGTTCTGGTAGAAATTATACACTGCCTCAAAAGATCCATTTTGACCAAGGCAGAGACTTTGAAAGCAGATGCTTTAAGCAGTTGTTAGACATTTAAGAAATTCAGAAGTCATGGACATCTTTTATTTGCAAGGGAATCTACAGACAGAGGGCTTTCATTACACCCTCCTTAACTTGCTCAGGGCTCTTACAGGGGGCACTCAGCAGTCGTACATGCCTATAACAAACTAAATACTCATGTTCAGGAGACAGGCCTAATTGCCAGTGAATATGAGCTGTGAGCCAAAAAGGCTATATAGATTGGTTCATGAAGAATCTAAAAACTGCTCAAGTGGCTCCTGATGCTGAAGGGCAGCAAAGGAACTATGACTTGAGAATAAATGTTCAGGATTTGCAACTTGGAGATCGGGTGCTGTCAGGAATGGACTGGCCAGCAATGGTGGGTATCACCTGCCTTATGAGCTGCAGTACCAGGGCTGGCCAGCGGGTGCTCCCAGCAATCAGAGACTCAACCTTGCAGCCAGCAAAACACCTGAAACTGCTTATGCTGGTGTATTTAAGGGATGGCCAGACCTGCAGACTCTGCCTTGGTGTATGTGTTTTCCTGGGCCCTGTATCTTGCATCCTGTTCCTGCATCCTGTCCCTGTCCCTGCCTGATCTGATCTCTGCTGACTTCTCCTGCTCTGACCCCGGCTCGTTCCTGACCATCCCTCTGCCTGACCCTCTGTACCTCGCTGTCTGCTACCTGTTGAACCTGGCTTGTGACCCCGACCATTCTCCGCTTGCTCCCCCTGTACCTACCTGCCCGATTGATATTTGACCCGGCCTGCCTGACGACGCTTGCATTGTATGTACTGTTATCTGTGGGTGGTTGGTTTGGTTTGTTTGCACTGTGTTATGTTTTAGTATTGCACTGCGTTTATGTTTGTATTGTTAGTGTTAATAAATTATATTGTTTATAATATATCTGAAGTCTGCGTTTCCCTGCATCAGTCACACACCTCTGGTCATACCCGGGAGCCTTGACATTACACCAAGGCCAATCCTGACCAGAAGTGGCTGCACAGGGAAGCCATCTTGGTTTGTTGATGGGAAGGATGGATCTGGATGAGGTTGCGTATTTATATCTGCTAGTGTTTGATGACAGGGAGTATGCTTATCAAACTCTGAAGGAGTATACCCGGGATGAACTGCTAGAATGTATACGGCTCGCTCATGTTCTAGTAGATCAGGGCACAGAGTTTTCTGAGGTGCAGCCATTGATTGAGGTTTGTGCTGAGTTGGTTTCATCTGGTACCCCCCGAATGCAGGGATGAATTTTTGCCACCATTTAGTGCAGACCAGGTAGAGTCCCTGGTGTGGTTATTAGAGGATGATGTGGGTTACTTTCTGGAGCGTTATTCCACATGTTCACCACAGATACTAAGAGATTGTATAAACGCAGTGCAGTCTTTGGTCAGACAGGCTTTGTGTAAGCTCAGCTTTGTTCAACCCATACTGCAGACATGGACAGATTTGTTGCACCCAGCCTCAGTCAGCTTACAAAGACCCAGTCCTGCTTCTAATCTATTTCCTCAAAAACTCTATTCCTGCATTCCCAACAGCTCCTCCAGTTACAGCCCAGTATACTTGGCTATCTACCGCATGTCAGTACCCTGTTCCCACTCGCTGCACCTATCCTGCCTTTAACCCTGTAAAAAAGCCCTCTGTAGCAACTGCTCCCTCCTCTGTCCCATCCTCCAGCTCTTCTCTGTCTCCAGCTGCTCCATTCGTTTGCAGACCTGCGTTTACTTGCAGTGCTCCAGTAGTTAAAACCAGAAAAAAGCGAAAATTCTTTCCAACCAGTACCATCCTGCCAGTATCCAAACCGGTGAACCTGCCTTCCGTGGTTCAGCCTGAAGCCTTACTCAGCCTGAAGCCTCTACTCAGCCTGAAGCCTCTACTCAGCCTGATGCCTCTACTCAGCCTGATGCCTCTACTCAGCCTGATGCCTCTACTCAGCCTGATGCCTCTACTCAGCCTGATGCCTCTACTCAGCCTGAAGCTACTCAGCCTGAAGCCTCTACTCAGCCTGAAGCCTCTACTCAGCCTGAAGCCTCTACTCAGCCTGAAGCCTCTACTCAGCCTGATGCCTCTACTTCAGCCTGAAGCCTCTACTCAGCCTGAAGCCTCTACTCAGCCTGAAGCCTCTACTCAGCCTGAAGCCTCTACTCAGCCTGATGCCTCTACTCAGCCTGATGCCTTTACTCAGCCAGATGCCTGCATTCAGCCTGATGCCTCTACCCAGCATGATGAACTGATCCAGCCTGACGATCCTATTAGGCCTGGTGACCCGATGCCCGCTGTCGAGCCAGACAATCCGGTACCTGATGACCCGGTGCCCGCTGTTCCGCCAGTTGACTCGATGCCCCACTGTTCCGCCAGTTGACTCGGTGCCCGCAGTCTTGCCAGACGACTCGGTGCCCGCAGTCTTGCCAGACGACTCGGTGCCCGCAGTCTTGCCAGACGACTCGGTGCCCGCAGTCTTGCCAGACGACTCGGTGCCCGCAGTCTTGCCAGATGACTCGGTGCCCGCAGTTCCGCCAGTTGACTCGATGCCCGCTGTTCCGCCAGACGACTCGGTGTCCGCAGTCTTGCCAGACGACTCGGTGTCCGCAGTCTTGCCAGACGACTCGGTGCCGGCAGTCTTGCCCCGCAGTCTTGCCAGTTGACTCGGTGCCCGCTGTTCCGCCAGTTGACTCGGTGCCCGCTGTTCTTGCCAGTTGACTCGGTGCCCGCAGTCTTGCCAGACGACTCGGTGCCCGCAGTCTTGCCAGACGACTCGGTGCCCGCTGTTTGCCAGTTGACTCGATGCCCGCTGTTCCGGCAGACGACTCGGTGCCCGCAGTCTTGCCAGACGACTCGGTGCCCGCAGTCTTGCCAGACGACTCGGTGCCCGCTGTTCCGCCAGTTGACTCGATGCCCGCTGTTCCGCCAGTTGACTCGGTGCCCGCAGTCTTGCCAGACGACTCGGTGCCCGCAGTCTTGCCAGACGACTCGGTGCCCGCTGTTTGCCAGTTGACTCGATGCCCGCTGTTCCGGCAGACGACTCGGTGCCCGCAGTCTTGCCAGACGACTCGGTGCCCGCAGTCTTGCCAGACGACTCGGTGCCCGCAGTCTTGCCAGACGACTCGGTGCCCGCAGTCTTGCCAGACGACTCGGTGCCCGCAGTCTTGCCAGACGACTCGGTGCCCGGTGCCCGCAGTTGACTCCGCCAGTTGACTCGATGCCCGCAGACTGTGTCCGCAGTCTTGCCAGACGACTCGGTGCCCGCAGTCTTGCCAGACGACTCGGTGCCCGCAGTCTTGCCAGACGACTCGGTGTCCGCAGTCTTGCCAGACGACTCGGTGCCCGCAGTCTTGCCAGACGACTCGGTGCCCGCAGTCTTGCCAGACGACTCGGTGCCCGCTGTTCCGCCAGTTGACTCGGTGCCCCCGCTGTTCCGCCAGTTGACTCGGTGCCCGCAGTCTTGCCAGACGACTCGGTGCCCGCAGTCTTGCCAGACGACTCGGTGCCCGCTGTTCTGCCAGTTGACTCGATGCCCGATGTTCCGGCAGACGACTCGGTGCCCGCAGTCTTGCCAGACGACTCGGTGCCCGCAGTCTTGCCAGACGACTCGGTGCCCGCTGTTCCGCCAGTTGACTCGATGCCCGCTGTTCCGCCAGGTGACTCGGTGCCCACTGCCTTGCCAGATGACGCGGTGCCCGCTGGCGAGCTAAATGACCTGATGCCTGGTGACCCAGTGCCCGCTGTCATACCTGGTGACTCGGTGCCCGCAGTCTTGCCAGACGACTCGGTGCCCGCTGTTCCGCCAGTTGACTCGATGCCCGCTGTTCCACCAGTTGACTCGGTGTCCGCAGTCTTGCCAGACGACTCGGTGCCCCGCAGTCTTGCCAGACGACTCGGTGTCCGCAGTCTTGCCAGACGACTCGGTGTCCGCAGTCTTGCCAGACGACTCGGTGTCCGCAGTCTTGCCAGACGACTCGGTGCCCGCAGTTCCGCCAGTTGACTTGATGCCCGCTGTTCCGCCAGTTGACTCGGTGCCCGCAGTCTTGCCAGAAGACTCGGTGCCCGCAGTCTTGCCAGACGACTCGGTGCCCGCTGTTCCGCCAGTTGACTCGATGCCCGCAGTCTTGCCAGACGACTCGGTGCCCGCAGTCTTGCCAGACGACTCGGTGCCCGCTGTTCGGCCCAGTCTTGACTCGGTCTTGCCTCGGTGCCCAGTCTTGCCAGACGACTCGGTGCCTGCAGTCTTGCCAGACGACTCGGTGCCCGCTGTTCCGCTAGTTGACTCGATGCCCGCTGTTCCGCCAGACGACTCGGTGTCCGCAGTCTTGCCAGACGACTCGGTGTCCGCAGTCTTGCCAGACGACTCGGTGTCCGCAGTCTTGCCAGACGACTCGGTGTCCGCAGTCTTGCCAGATGACTCGGTGCCCGCAGTCTTGCCAGACGACTCGGTGCCCGCAGTCTTGCCAGACGACTCGGTGCCCGCCGCTCCGCCTGGGGGCCCGAGACCTGTCGCTCCGCCTGGGGGCCCGATGCCTGTCGCCCCGCCTGGGGGCCCGATGCCCGTCGCCGCCCCTCCTGGGGGCCCGGCGCCCGCCGCCCCTCCTGGGGGCCCGATGCCCGTCGCCCCGCCTGGGGCCCGATGCCCCGCCTGGGGGCCCGGTGCCCGTCGCCCCGCCTGGGGGCCCGGTGCCCGTCGCCCCGCCTGGGGGCCCGGTGCCTGTCGCCCCGCCTGGGGGGCCCGGGGCCTGCTGCTCCACCTGAAGGGCCCGGGGCCTGCTGCTCCGCCTGGGGGCTTGGGGCCTGCTGCGCCTGGGGGCCCGCTGCCTGCTGCTCCGCCTGGGGGCCCGGTGCCTGCTGCTCTGCCTGGGGGCCCGGGACCTGCTGCTCCGCCTGGTGCCCGGTGCCTGCTGCTCCGCCTGGTGGCTCGGTGCCTGCTGCTCCGCCTGGTGGCCCGATGCCTGCTGCTCCGCCTGGTGGCCCGCTGCCTGCTGCGTCACCTGGTGGTCCGATGTGCCTCTGCCCGGAGTCCTGCCCGATGTGCCTCTGCCCGGAGTCCTGCCCGATGTGCCTCTGCCCGGAGTCCTGCCCGATGTGCCTCTGCCCGGAGTCCTGCCCGATGTGCCTCTGCCCGGAGTCCTGCCCGATGTGTGCCTCTTCCCGGTGTGCCGCTGCCCGATGTGCCGCTGCCCGGAGTCCTGCCCGGTGGGCCAGTCTTTGATATCCCACCAGTTACCAGACCCGGGCGGTGGAACATTTTGCCCAGCTAGGACTGTTTGGAGCGTCCTGAGGCCGCTCCTTGAGGGGGGGGGGTACTGTCAGGAATGGACTGGCCAGCAATGGTGGGTATCACCTGCCTTATGAGCTGCAGTACCAGGGCTGGCCAGCGGGTGCTCCCAGCAATCAGAGACTCAACCTTGCAGCCAGCAAAACACCTGAAACTGCTTATGCTGGTGTATTTAAGGGATGGCCAGACCTGCAGACTCTGCCTTGGTGTATGTGTTTTCCTGGGCCCTGTATCTTGCATCCTGTTCCTGCATCCTGTCCCTGTCCCTGACCCTGCCTGATCTGATCTCTGCTGACTTCTCCTGCTCTGACCCCGGCTCGTTCCTGACCATCCCTCTGCCTGACCCTCTGTACCTCGCTGTCTGCTACCTGTTGAACCTGGCTTGTGACCCCGACCATTCTCCGCTTGCTCCCCCTGTACCTACCTGCCCGATTGATATTTGACCCGGCCTGCCTGACGACGCTTGCATTGTATGTACTGTTATCTGTGGGTGGTTGGTTTGGGTTGTTTGCACTGTGTTATGTTTTAGTATTGCACTGCGTTTATGTTTGTATTGTTAGTGTTAATAAATTATATTGTTTATAATATATCTGAAGTCTGCGTTTCCCTGCATCAGTCACACACCTCTGGTCATACCCGGGAGCCTTGACAGGTGCTGTTAAGAAATCTGGGTCTTCCCAGAAAGAAAAAGCCAGCTGACCAATGCAATTTTTAACATTGTCTGCAAGGAATTTCTTGGTCTTCCTGTATATCAGATTCAGCCCAACAGGAAAACAAGGCCTTTGAAAATTCAGCCTTGAATCCACCCTATCTTTTGGTGGGGCTGCTGGAGTGCAAACTGCAAATGAATCACCTTTGGCTAATCCACCCTCCAGTGACCCAATCACAGTTACTTCTTTTTGTGGAAGAGGAAGAAGATGACTGAGAGGAAGACTTTGGTGTGGGATGATTGTGGTAGTCTGACACTACAGATGCCATCCAGTCCTGTTCAAACCTAGAAAGCTTTTTGGGCACTAGAGTGCACTCTAGAATAGCTAGAATATTAACATTCACATTACAGTTAATGCTTATACTGCATGCATTACGCATTGCTGATTCATGAGTTAATCCCAGTCTAGTGGTACAGAACTGTGTTCCAAGTTATCCTTGCATAATGATTATACTGTCCAGTGGACTGTGTCTGAAACTACCTTCTGTGTGTTCATTTATGCTCAAATTACCATTTATTCTAACCTTTACCAAGGAGTTAATTTGCCACAAAATGGTCCTGTGTCTAATTCCTAGTACTAATTCACAACCAAATTAAAGTTATCTACACTTGTGTTCGTATAAGCGCTTGCAGTAACTTTCACTCAACCAAGTGTGCAAGAGGGGCTGAAAATATTCTCAAGGTGAGGCGCAGAACAGAGAACCCAAATTACCAGGCGGCTCATTTGGGGGTAGCATTACATTCAGTATATATAAATACTTTAATGTGCACAGTCTGGGCACAGGCTCACTTTAGATATGCTTCTGCTACTTCCACTTAGTAAGGTTGCATACTGTTTTGCCATCTCTTTCTCTCCATGCAGGTCTATCTGCCGGCTCAGGCTTTATGTGGTTTATCTTGTAACTTTAGCATGCTTACTATAGGCATGCTGATTGCACTCCAGGATATGCAGATAACAACTAGAGGGAGAATCAACAAACCTGTACATGAAATGCCACCATGAAAATTTGAAACAGTAGCCAATTCCAAATCAGACAGTCACATCAAAAATCACTCTTTGGTAAAAATTGCAATAACTAAAATGTATACTTCCTAAACATACACAATAATTTTCCTTTGAGAGCAAGGTAATAAGAAAGCTCTTCTTGCCAGGAAGTTTTTAAGTGAAAATCACAGAGTGGAAAATGATCACTGAGCTAAAGCTTGCTACATCATTTCTGTGCATAAGTCAGTGGGAAACATTCTAATCCTTATCGGGCAGGCAATGTTTTCATGGAGAAGATCTTCTCATCCAATGGGATCTCAGGCAAGAATCAATGGAATGCAAAGCTCCTTCAAGACCCTAGCCTTAGGCTTACATTCGCAGAGTCCTAACTGCACCCTCCTCTGTTGGAGCATTCCTATGCTTAGAATTATTTTCACACAATATTAGCACTGTTTGGGTCAAATCCGTTAGAAATAGACATTTCCCCTACTTGTCCTATATGATACTTTTAGGACAATACTATGAAATAGGGAGAATCTGCAATTTCTCCATCCTATAGCTGTGCCTTATGTACAAATACTAAACAGGTCAACAATTCTGCACAGCTAACACAGGTCATAGCCAAGGATGGAGGGACTTCCAGGGGACGACACATAGCCCCCATGTTGGTAATTGTCAGTAAGGCTAGGTTCACACCATATGTGGTTGTGGGTCTGGGTGTATTCATACGCTTTCCCACACCTGCATAAAAATGCGCTGCTGATAGCAGATGCACGGGGGTGCCATTAATTCTTAATGGCACTCCCATGCAACGGAAGCTGCTCCACGTTTTTCCATGCTGGGAACCGTTTAGTGCTATGCAGTTTCCCTGTAGCTGCAAATTTGGAATAGGCGCAGTGACCTTTTCCCTGTATTTTTCCCTGTATTTTTCATAGGTACAGCAGCCCACTCAAAAGAATATGTCTGTACAAACAGGACTGCAGGGAAACCACAGTAGTGTGAACTTAGCCTAACACTTTTCCCTGTATAATAAATAGTTTCAGATCGCTGTCCTGCTTGCCAGTGCATTCTGACTGGGTTATCATTGTTGCTGGCTATGCAGAGCTTGTTCATTTTGTTGGTAGAATAGTGTCCTGTGTACTTAACAGTTCACCTCCTCTGAATTTCCACACTTAGAAATTAACTAGCAAAGCAGAGTGTTAGCTGTCTCTCTGACTCTTCTAGCTGTTGGCTCCAGGTGTACTGATAAAGAGAGGGTAGACCATCTCTATCAGTCTCTCTACCCTTAAATTTGATATGCTTTGTTCAGTATGATGTCTCGTATTCTTAATATGATTATACACCTTGCCAATCCACTGCGGCAGGAGGGAGTGACACAAGACACTAGGGGCATGGAGTATGTATGTAGACATAATACTATGTCTAGCCATACAACAATATCTTTATGTTCTTGTACATATAATCTAATCAAAAAGGAATTTTACGTGCATGCATGTTAACTTTTATCCAGTGTTGTTGCTAAAACTCTACTTCTCCTATATGATCTTATACCTCCTGTGGTGTTCCCCATCCTTTGCACTGAAGGGAGGGATTTACTGAGGAAAGAATTTGTGTTAAGAGGGAGGACTTTCGGGAGGAAAAGGATTTGGGCTAAGAGGGGGATTTTGGGGGGAAGGGTGCAGGTGGGAGGGGATTTGTGCTGGGGGGGGGGATTACAGCGGGGGGGGATATTGGTGTTCAAAGAGAATTTCTGCTTCGGGGCTAAGCATATAGATTAGTATTGGATTTTTTTTTTTTTGCTAAGGGAAAAATTCGGAAAAGTATTGCTTGCTGACTCCTGCACACTTTGTTTTGTTCTCTGGACACCTGCACTCTGTGTATTACACAATCCTGACCCCTGCACTCTCTTCATTACACACCCCTGACTTCATACTCTGTATACTATCTTCTACATTAGGACGTTCCAACCAAAGTGTTTATTGTTCCAACAGTTGCTGATTGCTAAGCAGTCCCTTACTATTTTAATGAAGTTCTTCATAAGGCAGCCTTAGGCAAAGTGTGTACAAAAGCATATGTAATGGAAGTATTGTTTCAAAATTAGTGTGCTGAGGTTTATACATGACTGAAAGACCCTTGCTTGTGGCACAGCATCTAAAGCATATCTTATTGGTACAAGGGGGTTCTTGGTTTTAGTTAACCATGCCCCTTTAAGCCCCTCCCATAGTTAACACAATTTGGCCACACCCACTGTTGGGTGTGGCACAATACGTACACTGCATTATTTCTCTTCATAGCATGCCCAAAGGTGTCATAGATCTTTTACAATCCTAACAACACCCATGCTATTATCAATTCAAGATACCAATGTCATGAATCTTATGCGGTAGTGTTTGGCTAGTAACCAAAACAATATATCTATTATGGCTATAGTGAGATGACAAAAACAGAAGCAAAAATCACTTATAAGTGTTAACATGACCTTATCGTTGTGGTCTTCACATGACTTACAAGTAGGGAGGCAACCTAGATTTACTGGATATTTGGAGGAAGACATGAATTTTAAAGGCAGGAGCAGGACATGAATATTATGAAAACACCAACAAGAAGCTTAACGAATAACGTGTGCATTACAGAAGATTCAGATGAATGCAAATGGGTAGGTTTTCTGAATTTAACACAGTTGCAGTATTTCCTTGATAGCATTTGCAGTAACTGACTGAATTCTGTTGTTGCCTAGAGATGGTCTTTAACAAGCTCTGTGCAAATCTGAAAAATCTATACTATATTACTAGTAAACTGATGATGAGGAGGAGTTTGAAATAGATTGGCTGTGACAATTACAATGTGAGAGCTGCTGGGCTATTGCTGGAGTTGTCTACAAATTGACAGTATCAAATGATTCATCAAGTGAACAGTTATAAATGATAGAAGCCTAGTGAAGAGTGCAGAAGGAGAATGGACTTTGTTCAATCTCAGAACAATTTTATTAACCTCTCTTATGTTCCTGATGGTGTAGACAGAGGTTTGGGTGGAGCATTTAGAGCAAGTATTCCGTAGGTGACCAACCTCAGGTCTATAGCCAATAATAGGTCAATTAAAGGAGTAGGCCAAGACATAGATCAACTAAAGCAAAAGGTACAGGATGCTCAATCATCAATGTATAAGTACTGTAACTTTAGGTGTTTTGTATGCAAATTTAGTAAAAAGTCATAAGTACGTTATTCTACAAGGAGGAGCAAATGCCTGCATCCAACCCAAGTTTGTTGAGGAAATACAGTAACCAAGGAGCTGGGTCACTAAAATGTGCTGGTTTACTGTATATCTTCATAAAGTTATTTAGTGGATTTCAAACTGCATCTCGTGTAACTTCATTGAGTGTTCGTGTTTCTGCTTATTGGTAGTAAATATAGGGATTGTTGAGTGGTTATTCACATTTGTAGGGTTGCATGAAACCCAATCTGGGATCACACAACCTTAAATCAAGCTGGTGGAGAATTTATGTCTTCCTGCAAGCCTTTTAAACTGGATAGTCCTGCTTGATACTGACTGGAGTTGGTCTGGATTACCATACACTGAACCATATACTCTGGCATGTAGAGTCAGTATCTTTTCAGCCCAGAAGATGCAGAGGTGCGCAGAGGCGAAAAAAGTTCTATTTGCATCTATAATTCCTTGTAATAGAGTGGAGAAGGGAGAGAACCTAT